GGGAGGGGTTGCTTCTTGATAGAATCAACTATTCCCTTATTTTGAAAGATACTCGATGGTACCATTGGTTTTTTTTTAATCAACTCCTAAGCCCACAAAAACACTGACAGCTCAACTGCAATGCAGAGGCACCCCCAACAGTTGGCATTTTGAAAAATTTCTCACACCTCACAAGAAATATCTACGGTGAAACTACCTGACCATGTACCTCAGTTTGCGACGTTGTGGACTTCCTGTCATACTTTATTTTTTAAATGGGAAACTACTCAACGTCGATTCTTGAAAACTTCAGTGTTTTTTCCTCTCTATGCAAAGAAAACTTTGTGAAAATTTCAAGAAATGATATTGATTTTTTCTCCTTTAACAACATAAAATGGGGGCAGAGATTTTTAAACACCGCAAACAAGATACGTGGTCTGGTAGTTTCATCGTCGATATGCACTATACTTAGATAAGAGGAAACTTTTTTGTTACTCCCTTTCCAATTTTTTATTAGTACAGTATTTAATTTTTAATTGGGAAACATCCATAAAATAGTATCGTTTATTTCTGTTTAAAACCAATCTTAGAAGCTTGACGGTGATTTATGTAATTATTTCATTATGGTTACATAAGTTTGCACAATTCAAAAAGAGTTTTTAAAAGGGCGGTGAGCTGTTTCATTACATTGTAATTTATGGATTTTTTATACCGATATTATCCTGTATTATCTTGAGTGAGGTGAGAGAGATGGATTTCTGATATTATACATTTAAAAAAAGAAATTAACTCACCAAATAACTTCTCTATGTAGGCTGCTTCATCAGGTGTTGCTCGCGGAATGATACCAGGATCGCTGAAGCTTGTTCTCAGGAGAACAAACATGACAAATGAGAACATTACAGCTGCAATGACTGGGATTAATGGAGTGATTTTCATCGCAAGATATGGACAGCTGGAAAAACAAGAGCTGGAATCAGATTATTGAAGATTCCAACATATTTACATTCATCATGTTTCACAAATTTATTCTTACACTCAAGGAAAGAGCAATGGTGCAAAGGTACATAACTTCATCGCTGCATGGGTCTACCTAATTCTTTGAAAATCATTGTCATGCTTGGGAGAGAGCGAAGCCAATTCCATCACCTTCCGGCCAAAGTATCACAAGCGCCATTTTTACCAAAATTAAGTAATGATTAGTTTCGGAATAACGAGGTGCATTTAAGCACGAAAATACTTTTTTTGGAACAAAAATGTAGAAATATGAATAAAAATTGATTAAAGCTCATGTGTACTTTGGTAGGTATCACAAACGCCATTTGGGAGAGAAGTATCACAAGCACTGAGTTCTGCAATCGCCCACCTTTCTGATCGTTTACAATTTTTGATACATGCTATTTTCGGATGTGACATTTGTCCTGGAGCTTAAAATTCATTCTAGTATAAGAATTAGACCTCTAGAATTAGGGAAAGAAAAGATAGAGCTCGCGCAGTTGAGAAAAACGTCAATCTCTGATTTGCACTGAATTAGCACCATTCAACAGGTTAATGCATGCAGTCAAGTGGCACCACTGATGAGTAATATATAAACAATACTTTGACATTCGTCTCAACATACGATGCGCGAGCTCTATCTTTTCTTTCCCCAGTTCTAGAGGTCTAATTCTTATAAGTACTGGTATGAATTGCAGTACACAACATCTAACCGCTTTAATCGAGAGAAACAAGAGAAGATGCATTAAAATGAAAGTCACAAGGCTTTATTGATGGAATAGAACCTCTTGATGACTTCCGAGCACGAGTAAGTACAAAAATCTGTGGACTCAGATATAGAAAAAATAATTAATTTGTACCTGCCTCACTGTACTTATTGACATGATGGAACAATCCTGTGAGTTTGATAATTAAAAGGTCGTAAATAAGTTGCTCGATGTTGATGAACCTAATCGCAGAGGAAGATGCAATTAGACAATTTGAAGTTAGCCTACTTCAGTTAGGTTATATGCATAGAGTACAATAGAGTCGCAATGTGCTGGAGTGTCGATGAAGTCAATCCATGAACAGGGCATTCCGAGCTCCTCGTTAGCCGGAAAGTGGGAACCATCTGGGAACTGTTCGGCATTTTTTAACACGGGGGCTCATGGGAAAATCGCGGGCTGCGAGTAGCTTTCAGGATTTATTCATTTAAATCAATCATTATTTCCGCGATTTTTGGTTAATTGTTTCCACCAAAGTCATAACAAATTCTGTAATGTACAACACTCTCGGTTTATTTGGAATCAATTTTAGACTTGTATTTTCTGAGTGAAGACCAGAGCTGGAACCCCGCGCATACGGTATTGCTTGTCGCCACACACTAGTTTCAGGAGTACTGGAAAAAACAGCCTCAAAAAGTGACTTCATCGGCTCTCCAGAACATTAGAACTCTATTGTACTCTATGGTTTTATGATACCTAGCCAAAAACCCCTAACCTCAGCAGGAAGTGGTAAAAAGTGAGGTAACTAGGAACCTAAACTCTGGCCAAGAAATAGCGGAAAAGAGAGTAATTGGACTTACTCAAAAATGAAGAATAAACTGGTGGTTCCAACAATCAGCAATACATTTATGTAAAAAACAGTTGCATTGGGAGCCATGATGATCCTTCCGTCGCAGCAAAACTGATTCCGTCCAGGAAACAGCTCCCATTTTTTGGTGACATGGAGCATGTTTTTGGACCATTGATGAATTCACAAAAGGAGATATGAGATGCTAAATTCCATGGCATCAAGATTTGATGCAGGAATGGTTAAGATGAACGATCATGATGGGGTTCATAGTGCACTCTCATACAAAAAAATGATAATGAGAGGTGGGGAAAAAATCATCATAGAACTGAAAACATGGATAAAATGATAAGCCGTCGTTGGCTAAATGATCGCGGAATGTTTCAGAACACTGGCGATGAGTTAATTTTGAGTTTCATAATTTCTTGGGCGAACACTAATGAACTACTTGGTAATGATTCAGAATATTATACATTAGGGCAGAGAATAATATTGATGATCGAAGTGAATTCACAACAGCAAAAAGGGACGTCAATAATGACACGATCACCAATCACAATTTCGTAAATCAGAAAATTTTACAGAAAGATAAATACTTCAATTTCGAACCAACGTCATGAAGATAAGAGGGCTGAAACGGAAAACTGACTGCTGAAACTGATCGGCTGATCACAGATTGAGAGAGAGAGCATACGAACATGCGCAGTTGCCTAATTAGCGCCTTCATTCTGCCCAGAGACAAATTCTGCCGCGCTGGAAGAAGGTCGTTTAAGAATTTGAATGTTGCCAAATGGAACGAAATTCCTCTGAATACAGAAATAATTTTTTAAAAAATCGTCGATGTTCCTCCTCGAAATTTTAAGACACACTACATTTAATTGCGGGTAGTATTCTCTGAAAGATTAAAAGAAAAAGAATGCCAGTGTACCTGGAAAATGTTTATTGTGTTAGAAGAAAAATTGGCAACTTCCAAACGTTCTACAGGCGGTTTCATAAATTCTAACAGAGTACACATTGCCGCACGAATTCTCCTGAAGTCCCTGGGGCTGCCCCTATGGTTATGGTTACTACGCCCCCTCCTTCCTCCTGATTTAAAAAAGTAGGACAAACGATGTAATTACTTCAACGGATTTTTTAGTTAATTTCTTACTTAGTATAGGTATTTACTTAGAGCGGAGCTGGTGCCAGCCCTTGTTTCCCAGCTACAGCCCCACTGATTTAGAGCGAATATAGAGCGAACACATGATCACCACTAACTTTTCACCCTAAAGTCATTGTAAATTCCTGTATGGAATTAATCACAAAATTTCCTAATTTTACTTAAAATCAATAACTTCATAATTGTTTTAGCAAAGCACATGTCAATGGCTAAAGTGCAAAAACCACTTATCACCATTGCAGTGTTTCAAAATTTCTGCTCCCATTTAATTCTTTCAAAGCGGACGAGCCAACTTTGCAGCTTGAAATGTATGCAAAGTCTAATTCTGCTAGCAAAGAAGAAAAATCGAAGACGTTTCCGTGAAGTTGACTGATTTTTCAAAGAAAAAATTAAGTATGACAGGAGGTCTGCAACGTCGCGTTGCAAATGGAAATACATGGTTTCGCACTTCAGCCATCGATAAGTACATCTTCAGCACTTACAAAAAGCACAAATTGCTAATTTTGCAATAAAATAAAATAGGAGACAACTTTTAAAAGTATTGCGGTCAAGATGTCTACCTGATCTCTGAGGTTTGGCCATTGATAGGTAAATCTAAAGCATCGCAGGGATCACTTTGTAAAAACTGAAACATAAGGCCCTGCCTAAGTAGTTGCTTTTCCTTATGATTCGTCAATCTACAACGTTTCATCATTCCGAATGCGACTGACATAATTCTCGTTTGCCACTCAAGGTTTGCAAAAGTTTGTCCAGTTTTCAACCATTTCTAACAGGCCTTGGTTTCAAAACTTATCATTAAAGCATGCCCTTACAAAAATACCTTTTAAAGCTGTTGAATAAATTTACTTGAATGCAATTATGATTACTACTTCTAACTCTCAATCTATTTTGGTTTCTTCATGATTAATAATGAGTAAAAAACAGTGCTTTAGACTTTCTTTTCAATTCTGATGTTTAATTTTGATGGCCTAAGTGTGAAACCACATATCTCCATTACAGTGTTTCCAAATCTTTGGTCCTTTTTTATTTTTTCGAAAAATGAGAAGCCAACTTTAAAGCTTGAAATTTATACAGAATTATATTCTGCTGTCAGAGATGAAAAATCAAGGAAATTTAAAAGAGATTACATTGACTATTTTTCTTAAGAAAACATTAAGTAAGTGCAACATCCATGTTTTGCACTTTATCGATTTAGTTCTGAGGGCTTATATGTGGAATGGAATGATCTTTTGGTATTCTAAATAGTCCTCCAAGAAGCTAAAGTATGAGGAATTATAGAATTGATATTTTCTAGATTTCCAAGAGAGGGCATTTAAAGTTGAAAAATTACACGGAATACAAACAATTATGTCAAATATTCTGGTGAAGAAAAAGGAGCTCAGGCGTTGAGTTTTTTCATTGAGCACACCATGAGACGAATTTTAGGGGAACGATTCTCAAGAAGGTATACACAAGAGTACAAAAGAAAAACAATCGCATTTTAATATTTTGCATAAATACAGACAAAATGTGAAGGAAAACATTCATGTAGAACATGCAAGAGTTATCAATGAGAGCTGTACAATTGAGAATTTCAAGATGGTGACTGAGACAACATAAATTATCACCTATAAAAATAGAAATTTGAAGAAGATAAAAAAGAGAATAAAAAAAAAAACAATTTAAGAGAGGGGAGAAAAAATTGAACTAAAAGTTTTCTTCCATTAGGTTAATACTTCACGAAAATGAACGGTGTACTTTGTCTTCTGGAAATCAATCTCATTCAATCTGTTTTCGGATTCTTTAGATTTGGTATGTGGAGCGGATGGTTGATCCATGGTTAACCGTATCTTTATGCGTTTGGTAAATCAGAACTTTTGGTTGCAATTTCAGGCTCTCCTTTAATTTGTATCTGAAATATAAAAAAGGAACTTATCAATTAACAAATCTTGAAGAGCATAAAATGTTAATGTGGTGAATATTGATGGCTAAAGTGTAAAATCATATGTCTCTGTTCGTGACATTGGTGATTTCTTGTTATACATACTTTATTTTTCCTTCGAAAAACTAGTCAACGTAATTTTTTTAAACCGGCCTTGATTTTTCCAGTATTAGCAGAATATTCTGTAAAAATTTCAGGCATGAAGTTGGCTTGTTTCTCTTTGACAAAATAAACTAGGACCAGAAATTTTGAAACACTGCCATAAAGAGACGTGGTTTTGCCCTTTGACCATCGATATACTTCATTTCTGTCATAAAGAATTAAGAAAAGAATTCTGCAACATCAGTCGGAGATCAGTTACTTTTAATAAATTATGATACAACTTAAAAGGTTGCCGAAAAGTTCATCATAGGCCTGAAGCCAAAAAATTAGGCCATACGTTGCAGTAGGAGTCAAGATATTTGCATCTGAACGTACGCACTATTTTCTGAATGGTACAGGTGTAGGAATTGCTTCACACTTCCTTCAGCCAGACGACCACCCCATTGAGAAAACCTGCTTTCAGGGTCTTCCCATTCTTGCATTCTACTGATCGCAACCTGCCAGACACATCGTTGAGAAGTTTCTGCCCCCCTAGGATGGCAAAGTAGAGGAAACTCAGACAGCTCTCAATTGAAGTGAAATTACTAGCTGATGGTGAATACTAGGTGATGATCATCAGCAAGATGTAATAAATATCTCCTTAAAATCTTTGAATAAGAGAGGTTTTTTGCTGTGCATTTAAGTCCAGATTACTCAGAGAAAAGAGCATGCGACAAAGTTCATGGACTTTTAATCACTGATTTTAAGAGGATTGTCTCAGAAAATGGAATTTCTCTGAGTGTTCATTGGAAGAGCAAAATTTAAAAATAAAATAAAGAAGAGTTAACAGGAATCACTCAGCTGAAATACAGTCGTGCTCTCTTCAGATTTGAAGATGTGAAATCACAGCGGTTGACTTTGTAGAATTGTAAGACCATTCGATATAATTTTAACATTTAATATTTAGTAGTTAACTGTTTTTAAAGAGCTGATGGTGAATAAAGGAAAAAATCTTACACCATCCCATGAGATTCAGGGAAAATGAATGAATGACGATTTGAACCAACAGAGGTGTTGGGAGAAAAACCTAATTTCCCCTACAACAAGGAAACCAAACTTTTCCAAGTTTCACAGTTGTGAACAGTGTTCCAACTTCACCTCCAAGTTTTAGGAGCCGTTTGGCCCATCAAGTTCAATTTTTAGGGGCCATTGAAGATTTTTTAGGGGCCAAATTGAATTTTTGCCTATATATCACGGCGCATTTAGTGAAAAGTTATACGCAAGATATACAGTTACAGGACTTGCAAGTTGCAACTCGCAGCCATTACTTGGGAAAGGGAAAGGCCAAAGGAATGATATTCCGATTTAAAACAAGGAGCTTTTAGTTTACTTAAAGTTTGCTCAATTAAATAATCTTTTTCTGACTTCCTATTATGAAAAGTAGTAGAACGATTCTATAGTATGTACGATAAGTAGTACGATTCTCGATCTGCTGAGCCGCTGCCGCGACGAAGTTCCGCGCGCAACTGCTTGCTATGCGCGTTCAGTCCAGGCTGACTGACAAAAATCTTGAAATCATCAAACCGTAATTTAGGATTGCGACAATTTTTTAGGGGCCACGTTTGGCGCAGGGTCTTCATTTTTTAGGGGCCATGGCCAATTTTTTAGGAGCATTTGGCAACATGGCGATCGTGGGGTTGGAACACTGGTTGTGAATATAACAAAAAGCCACTTTCTACACTTCAGTTGAGGCTTCAACAGTCTTTAGATTTAATAACTCATGCTTAACAACATAGCAAAATACTTTATTCAATGACGTGACCTCTTGATAACACAGATACATAACGATTACAAATACGAAAACTGACATTACGTTTATTGGTCGAATACTGACTGTTCACTGGTGACGGTGCTCACAGCTGCTACCCCATTACACAGCGCTGCCTATCGGCAGCCATTCGACCTAGACTGAGTTTCATAGAATACACTACACCTCAAGTGGGATAAAATGGAGGAACACAATTTCAGATTAATACTAATTTTATAATGTGAAGTTGGTTTTGCAGATACAGCATAATGCATTTTAAAAAAATTATTTCAAGGAGAGAAATTCTTAACTCACCCGATATATTTTACAGCTTTTTCGTTATTTGCATTTCCAGTCCACAAACCTAATTTTGCTGCTTTCGCACGGATACTGACAACAGCACCGCATATTTCATCACTTGCTTCGTCAAATGCTTCTCCAATCATGCATAAAACCTAGAAAGAAATTATGAGAATCATTTTTAGTAATTAGGAGACTAGCTCCAAAAGCTAAGCTGTGAGTACTTATTGGCAGCAATATTTAGAGTTTACCAACCCTTAATAAAATTGAACTCTATTTTACTCCATGGTTACTCTATTTAAAGCTGCCTAATCATTTCATTCTACTGTCAAAAAAAATTTCCAAGCTATTTTCTAAAAACTTAATAAGTAGCTAGCATACTCAATCAAGACGATTTGAAAAAATTAAGACATTTTGAAATACTTCCTTGGCAAGAGCACAAAGGCGGAAGGATATAGACGGCTAAAGAGCGAAATCACGTACCTCCATTAAAGTATTTCAAAGTCTCTGCCCCTATTTTATTTTTTTTAAGAGAAACAAGTTAACTGTATAGCTTGAAATTTCTGCAAAATAGGCTGCTAGTAGAGAGGAAAAATCGAAGAAGTTTTCAAGAAATGAAATTGCCTTTTCCAATGAAAAAATGAAGTATAACGAGAAGTCTACAACGCCACAAACGGAAATACCTGGTTCCATACTTTAGCCATCAATATAATTCATCATAAGATTGGATCAAAATGAGATAGGTTTAGTGTGGCGCACTATAATCAGAGTGGCAGTAAATAAAAAAATAAAGGTCAGAAAAAGTTTGATTTTCAGATGTACTTAGATAGATAAAAAATACTGTTCTTTCTGTACTGTAATTGCCTTGAAAACTTGACATTTTTTAATGAATTTGAAAAGAAACAAATTAAAACAAGGAGGAAGTTATAGCAGTTTCTGAGAATCAAGTTATTAAACTCTCCTAGAAACTTTAGTCACCACAGGGTGCTTCAGTACTTAGTGCCTACTTACTGAGAATATTTATGAAAAATGTAGTAAGTGATTAAGAACCCAAAAAGGCACTAGCTCACTACTGATGTTCTCTTTCTGTGCAGGCATACTTGAAATTGTATTACAGTGATAGGAAGGAATCTAGAAAAATGTATGCAAACTGGTAGCAATGGACCACTAGACAAGGTACGAAGTTAAGCATTCTAATACATGTTTCATAACCAGAATTTCACGTAAAACACACTACTTACATCAAAAATTACTGAACTCAACTCCTAACTGGGATATTAACGTTTAAATTTTACATTGGTTATAGGAATTTTGAATTGCCCGGTCACAAGAAACTCAATACTGTACATGAGTCAAATCGCAAACTACAACTGTTTAGGCAGGCTTATCAATCAAACATTGTTTTTTTCCCACCCTTCATTGTTCAAAGTGTAAATAATTTGCTTTAGCTGAGCCAAGGCGTCAGGACTGAGGTTACAATATTTTTGTATCGCAAACTGCCACGGTAACGTTTAGTGTGCGATTTGACTCTAGCAGACCATTGAGTTTTTATGAGCAGGAGGCTTGAATTCACCCGTCAAGAAACATTAAATATCTAGGTTAGGAGATAATTTCCCGAGATCATTAGCTTTCAACGCATCGTTAATGATTTCAAGTTCAGGATGCAAAAAAGAAATAAGGGACACATCAAAAACTTGAGGGAAAAATGATGAGTTAAAAATTCACTCACCAGCTCTAGCCAACACAAATTAATTTCATCTCTTGTGGGTTTGTCAATGTTAATAAGCCATCGGCCTCCATTTTTGTTTGCATCATCTTCCCACATGGGCCGAATGCCTTTCTTGAAAAGTGAGTAGTCAGAACTATTTTTTAATTCACCAGCAGGTTTAATGTGGTTGAACAAACTGAAATAAATTCAAAGAGAGTATAAGTGGTTTGGGCATGAGAGTAACCTTAGGGCTCAAGAGAATACTGAGAACTTCTTAAATTTAGACACTGTAACTGTTATACGAATTCTTAGAGAAGTCATTGGAACAAATGTTGAAATTAACAGTTCCGTAGAAAGTGATTCACTTTCCTCATGATCCTGAAACTTAAAATTGTGACCTCATGGAATGCAAATACACAGGTGGATGTTTCCCTTCACAAACAATCATCATTGCAAGAGGGAACAACAATTAAAGGTGATGCCGACTTTTTCACAAAATATTTTCTTCACACATAAATCTGACAGAAACAACATCAACAGACCTGAGATTTAGTGATGATCAATCCAAGTTCCATGATCATGAGAAACTTATTGGATACATAATCCCTGTAGAGAGAAAATGGGATAGCAGTATAATTAACACAAGATAAAGTTTTCATGAAACTGAACTTAAGATGAATATTCATCAGATTCATGCATTGATATGATCGACATGTGGGAAGTTCATTTGACAATCTGGCAGCTGGCTGGCGCAAGCTGCATGATTTTTAACGACTCGGTCTCTAAGATCTGTGTGCATACGATAAAGATGAGAAAATAGAGAGAACCTTACCACCAGAAGTCCTCGACTGTGTTGAAATCTATGACTTCTCTTTGGTTTTCTTCCCATTTCCGCGAACGGTCATTCTCGAAGTACCAGAGAGTCCATGTGTGCTGCAAGGGATGTTTGACGATTTGAGCTTCAGTCGTATTGGTATCAGTTTTTTCAATTACCTGGGAGAAACGGGAACACGAAAGGTGTGAGAAAAATCAGAAACTCAAGCGGCATAGTAAAAGATAAGGTGAGACTCAAAAAGAAGTGAGAACTAACCTCCGTATCAGGTTTTTGCACCAAAGCCATGATGAAATGCTTCAACGGGCCCCAGCAGTTTCAGTGTAGCTTTGACGAATTAATTCGGTATACAGTAGTATTTCTGAGTCGCTGATGACTGATGCTTGCAAACTATTATTCAAGGTAAATCAAACTTCAGTTCCAGCTCTGATAAATCTGAAGTTTTCGCGTGCACGATGGGAGCGATTGATGTGTGTGTGTGTGTGGTGATGGCGATTCTTGATCGATTCTCCGACCAAAAGATCGATAGGATCGAATCGATTCTTTCACGTTGATCTTACGCGTTCCTAGTTGCTTTCGATGTATCGCTTGAATGGACCGGAAAACCGTCTCAGCTCTCTGGCGAGGAGCCGATCCTGTGTTCGGCCATCGGCCGATCGCGAATCGCGATTGCTCGGCGCACTATGTATGAAAGGCCGTTTGTAACTAAAGATACGGAATGTTGGCAATTTAGAAGAAATGGTGTATTATATGAAATATTCAAGATGTATATGAAAATTTGAAATATATATACGAAATTGTCGCAATGTACAAGAAATGTGTCAATATTTAGGAAATCGACTCCAAAATATGTGGCGAAAATCGTGTAGTATATAAGAAATCGACTTCACAATAAAAGTCAGTGGCGTAACGGGCGCCCCCGCAGACCCTGCTATGCAGGGGGGCCCTGGCGCCTAGGGGGCCCTCGGCCGCCGGAATTTTTTTCTCTCTCTCTCTCTTTGATCCTCAGCTTTGGTTTCAAACTTTGGGCCTTTACTTATCGAGATGGGGCTTCTTCCTTTGATTTTTATTGTTCGCTCGGGGTTTTTCATACTTTTCTTGGACTGTTCCTAACTTTTTGTTTGCTGGAGGGCCCCTGCCTTCCCATGTCCACTCAATGATTCCACTTTTCGTATTTCGGGTTTTGGGAGGCCAAAGAATCTAAAAGCCTCGGGGGCCCTTTGATTCATGGGCCTGGGCTGAGCCCCCGCCTTCCTTTAGATCATTGATCTTTTAGGGGCTCCATTTAGTCGGGTACTTTTACGTTTTTATTTTTTTTTAAATATATTTATTTGCGCAAACATGCAAGTGAATCAAATTTCACCTCAGAACATAAAGTAAAAGAAGGCTAAATCCTGCACATACCATACCTAAAGGTAAAAAGATATAAGCTGCTGCCACTTTGATTTTTTGGTGGTTAAGGCTGATTTTCTCAAACATTTTCGGGCTGCGGGCCTATAAGACCATACGAGAAAAAACGGGAAGGGGTGAGGAAGGGAGAGGGGGGGGGATAATTTTGGAATTTTATCGACTTAGGAGGCCCCTAGAACAAATTTGGCAGGGGGGCCCAGCGGAAGTCCGTTACGCCACTGATAAAAGTGGCGAAATTCGTGCGATATACAGGGACAGGGTAATCCATAAGTCCTTTCGATCCCCTCTAAATTTTTCACCTAGTTGAGGCAAAGATTTGAAACTTGGGGGATGTTCTTCGGTTAATACCTTCTTGTTCTTAAGGCACCCGCATTTGGGATCCCCACTACCACCGAGGACCAAATTACGAGGCCCAGCCTGTATTTTTGCGAGTGTGTGTGTGTCCCTTTGACGAGCCGCGGGTTGCCGCATCTGATCAATGAGTGGGAGAGAGATAGACGATAAAACGGCGGCGTTTCAAAGCCGAGTGTGCTCCATTGACGTGCCGCATCTGAGCAATGATTGCGAGAGAGAGAAAGGACAAAACAGCGTATGGACCAATCCGAGTTGAGCCTTAGTCCCCGTTTACGGCCGTTCTTTCCAGGGCTCATGGTCGGAAAGGACTCCGGTGTTTTTTCGGGGCACTCGGATTCGGGATCCTCACTACCACCGCGGACAAAATTACGAGGCCCAGCCTGTATTTTTGCGAGTGTGTTTGTGTCCCTTTGACGAGCCGCGGGTTGCCGCATCTGATCAATGAGCGGGAGAGAGATAGACGATAAAACGGCGGCATTTCAAAGCCGAGTGTGCTCCTTTGACGTGCCGCATCTGAGCAATAAGTGCGAGAGAGAGAAAGGACAAAACAGCGTATGGACCAATCCAAGTTGAGCCTTAGT